GATGCGACAAATATAGTGGTCTAAAGCAACCAATATCAGAATTTCCTTAACTTATTTTTCTAATTTCATCTAGTATAGTTAGATTTTTTAAGAATTGAGACCCTCTACTAAACGCTTGCATTCAATTTGATAGAATCACGTTTGGTGTTATTGTGTAGGTGAAGTAATGTTTTTTGGTCTGTACTCTGTAGTGTAGAGTAGGGCAAAACGTGAGTATATAAAACGTAGAGAGGCATATATTGTACAGAGAGTGTGCTTTTAAAGAACGGACCGGCTGAAGAAAAAGATAACGTTGTTGTCTCCGTAAAGGTTACCAAGTATCACTGTCACGTGACCACCACCATTTCTCTTTTCAGTTTTCTTCACGCACATATATATCTTTTTTTTTTGGGCAAAACACATATATCTTTGTCTTTAATTAGACATTGTTTAGAGTTTATCTGATAGACCACAAGAAGTTATTAGTAAAAAACTCTCATTCTCATTAATTAATATAAAACTATACAATTGGGGGTTTATATACATTTGACCAGGCCTAAACCAAAGCCTCTAGACCAAGCTAAACCATTCTATACAGACTCCACTAAACTATATAATGAGAAATAAACACAAATGAAACTATATATAATAATAGTCCCCCTCAAGATGAGACGAAGATGTTTAAGAGACTCATCTTACTTATCATTTGCTTGAATAGAGTCGGGTATAGTGGCTTGGTGAAAGGATCTGCAAGCTGAAGATGTGTATTTATGTGAAGTAATTTGAACAACCTGCAACTAACCTTTCTCTCACACTGTGGCAATCAGACTCGATGTGTTTAGTGCGTTCATGAAAAACAGAGTTGTTGGCAAGAACCATAAATATTAGTTTGTTAAATTGCTAGTAGTAAATGATAAAAGAGTAGTAAAAATGTAGACATGAAATTTTAGCGTTTCAATTATATTGTTGTCCTCTGAAAACTTTTTAAAAAAAATATCTTTATAGACTTTATACAAAATAAATAACACAGTAAATGGTACTATTATAGAACCTCAAATATTCCAATGTCGACGAAAATAACATGCTTACAATACTTAAATCACGTAGTTTTTCATTTTTGTTCAATTGAGCCAAAAAAAAAAACCATCTTCTTAATTTGTCGTGAAGTTGCAAAAACTCTAGTATGTGTAAAGTACAAGTGGACCAGACGTTAATGGCTTAAAAGCCCACGCTTTAATTATAAAATATTGGGCTTTATGGCCCAACTTTTGTTTTGCCATTGCTTTTTTTTTTTGTTGGAGAAAAGATAGCGAGTTTTGCAACTGGTAGCTGTGTCTTCCTCTTTTGTGTTGGCCTGTGTTAATTTCTCTCTCTCCATGAGTCCTCTCAAGCAAGCTTCTTAGCTTTGGTTTCGTTTCTAAATGTAAGTTTTCAAGTTTTGTATCAGTAAGAATATTGATAAACCTAGTTGTTTTTTTTTACGTTCTCTAGTAGAGATTTCACCTAGATTGGTTCGGTACATAATCAATAGTCTTAGACTGGGATTTCGAAATTGACTGCCTCAGAGTCAGTCAGAGATTGGTTAATTGTTCAGGAAACCGGAACCTTGTTGCCTCGATTTGGATCTCCTATGCAAACTCTGTTGTGTCCTAATTCTTCTATTTGATTGTCTTATGTTTTTTTTTTTGCTCTTGCTGCGATTAAACTCAAAATCTGGGTTTATTATTCCAAATATGTTTGAACACTGCTAAAAATTGACAGGCTAAGAGGTGGAAACTGAATCAGTGAGCTCCACAATGATGCAGACTTGTTGTATCCATCAATCGTTTTGTTTCCCTCATAGGTATTCTGTGTAGGTACAACTTTAAAAAGCTTTCCTCTTTGTCAGATTGATTCTAAGAATGTTATCTTGGATTCTTGAAATTTTGCAGAGTCCTTCCAAGATTTGATGCTTCGATTGGTATTAAGCCCCCAAAGCTTTGTCAAGTTGGTTTCACTGGAAAGACTCAGTCTTATGGGATTTCAAATCTTCTACGGCGAAGAAGATTATATGTCAACTTGAATGCTAATGACGGTCACCCGTCCATGTCTATGTTGGAAGAAGAAACCTCTACTGAAATCAGCGAACCGACTCAAGAAGCCGAGCTTCCGTTCAGCAAATGGTCACCTTCTAAGTACATTTGGAGAGGTTTATCAGTTCCGATTATAGCAGGACAAGTCGTTCTCCGGATTTTAAAGGGTAAGATTCACTGGAGAAACACTCTTCAACAGCTGGAGAGAACTGGACCGAAATCTCTTGGAGTTTGTCTTCTGACTTCTACATTTGTTGGTATGGCTTTCACGATCCAGTTTGTTAGAGAATTCACTAGACTAGGTCTTAATAGATCCATAGGAGGTGTCTTGGCTTTAGCCTTCTCTAGAGAGCTTAGTCCAGTCATCACATCGATTGTTGTTGCTGGACGAATGGGAAGCGCATTTGCAGCTGAACTAGGGACAATGCAAGTCTCAGAGCAAACTGATACACTCCGTGTTTTGGGAGCAGATCCGATTGATTATCTAATCACACCAAGAGTCATCGCCTCGTGTCTGGCATTACCGTTTCTGACACTCATGTGTTTCACTGTTGGTATGGCTTCAAGCGCTCTTCTCTCTGATGCAGTTTACGGGATCAGCATTAACATAATCATGGACTCGGCTCACCGAGCACTTAGACCATGGGACATTGTGAGTGCCATGATTAAATCTCAAGTCTTTGGAGCTATAATATCGGTGATTAGTTGTTCTTGGGGAGTAACCACTACGGGAGGTGCTAAAGGTGTAGGAGAATCTACAACTTCTGCAGTTGTCATGTCTCTTGTCGGAATCTTTATCGCGGATTTTGTGCTTTCGTCGTTCTTCTTTCAGGGTGCTGGAGATTCTTTAAAGAACTGTGTTTGACATATTATTATTTTTTGTCTTCTGATGTTGTGGTTTAGACGGGTTTATGTAAATCAGTTGTCTTAAATTTTTTAAAAAAGGAACATCATTTTGGAAAGAACATAAAGATTGCTATATTTCTGTTCCAAAATGATACACGTTTAATAATCTTGAACTATAGTTATTGTGAAAATTCTCACAACGCCAACAATTGGGTCTAATGGAACATTCCTCGCAAGATATTACAGAATCAAACCTCGTTGAACAGAGTTTGGAAGAGGTACATAGAGATGTTTCCCAAACCTCCCTGGTCTTGTAATCGCAGGATACATCGTGTCCGGTCTATTCGTTGCACCAATCACAAACACACCATTTCGTTTTTTTCCACCGCTCATCATTTCATTGAGCAACTGAATCAATGTCCGTTCAACTACCCAAGCACCTTCTGATCCACGTTTTGATCGTTGATCTTTTTTAGTCATAGGTCGATATTATTCTCTCTTTATTGGTTTTTAATTACCAAAACATAAACGAAACTACAAGAGACCAGAAAAAGTGAGCCATACCAGTAAACTACAGCGATTAAAAGTATTTGCATTTCTTAGCTTACCTTACATCTACATTCTACGCGATGCAGACGAGCTAACATAACTTTCATGTAATATGCACTATATATATAAAGTATTAAAATATGAACCACTAAACACAATAATTAAACTCCTTTCTTTAGCTTAAAAAAAATTGATCATCGTCTTTTGGTCTAATGCAAGATTTATACGGTGACGACTATTAATTTTGAAAACAATTTTGGATTTGAACATGAATCTCCAAATCAACAAAAACAATAAACAGAAAAATAGAATATGATATGAATGGGATGGGTTTTGGGTCGTGCATGTGCATACATAATTGCAATGGCAGGAATATTAATTGAGGAAGCCTTAATTGGCTAGGGTACTGTCCTTAGTCCTTGACGTTTGCATTATATTGTCCTTTTCACCATCTCATCGATAAGCTACCCTTTTTGGTTTTCTAATCATCGTTTAGTCTCAGGCTCTTAGCTTATCGATGTTTAGACTGAGACTACAAAAGAAGTACGTCATGGCTTCCACTCTTTGTAAGCATTAGCTTTTGCATAATTAGTATATCTCAATTCCTGTTTTTAGTTTCTTAAAAAAAAAAAGGTCTAGTTTTATTATTTTTGAAGTATAAATAAGTAATGTGCTTTTTGTGTGGCCCTAAAGCTAGTTAGAAAATTTACAACTTCGAATCCATGTTGAAAGTTAGATACAGCCTCTATTGCGACTAATGGTGCCATTAATTTTCATTCATCGAAGTTTTATAACATTTTATATTTGCTATCTTTTTCAAACTAAACCTGATGAACCAAGAGTCGCTTTTCTACGTACGTTCCATTTTCTCTCCATCTTCAACCAAATTAATATTTAGCTTCGACAACAGATGTTATCAAACAAAACAAAAAACCTCCACGCAAATAATTTTATATTGTATATATATATACATTATGTAAACGTACAACGAATTGACAAATCTTTTTTTTAACAAGGTACAACAAATATCTATTCCGTAGCAGACACATACTTCATATATCGAGACAAACACATCTTACTTTACCCCACGCCTCAAAATCACCTCTTCATATATACATGCATATATTGTGACAATAGTTTTTGTTAAAGGATATATATATGTACACTAGCTAAAAATAGTTGTATATACATTTTATATAGAAATGTTACAAGAACCAGTCCTCAGATAGAGAATTTAGTGGCTCCGACCACGCATACAAATAAAAATGGGCTAATAATTTTGAACTATTATTAAATAAAATCCTCATTTGAGGTTTAAGCCCTCCACCTATAATTGGTCTTATACATATATATTCTTATATAATAAACAACACACCAAAACAAAATATTTTTTCTTCCAAACCTTAATTAAACAAAAAACACTGACCCAGTCCAATACTAGGATCTGTCTAGTGAGTCTTAGACCCATCACAAGACTCTAATATAATAAAGCAGTATATAAATTTATTTATAAAGCTCTCTATATCTTTCTCTATATATTTAATGTAAGCATCCATAAATACCAACTCAACAAACCCTTCTTCAGTCTCTCCTCACTCCTATAGCAAACCACAACAAAAACATAAAAGATAACAAAGAAAACCCCATTTCACTCTCAAAGGAATGGCGATTATAAACCGGAGCAAGCTGACCCAAACGACTATGATAAAGCAAATCTTGAAGAGGTGTTCAAGTTTGGGAAAGAAACAGAGCAGTGAGTATAACGACGAACATGAACATGCTGGAGACTCTCTTCCTCTGGATGTTCCCAAAGGTCACTTCGTGGTCTACGTAGGAGGGAATCGGGTCAGGTACGTCTTACCCATTTCGTTTTTGACCCGACCCGAGTTTCAGCTTCTTTTACAACAAGCTGAGGAAGAGTTTGGCTTCGAGCACAACATGGGTCTCACTATCCCTTGTGAGGAAGTAGCTTTCAAGTCTCTCATCACCTCTATGCTTCAATCCACATATATTTAATTAGGGTTTTTATTTTTAATTAAGCATAAAGATCTGTTTTTAATTAGCTTTCTAAAAATTTTGGTGATTTTGGGGTACAATAGGGTAAATGTTTCTAATTAGAACGAGACCAACTTTAGAGATACCTCCAAGATTTGTAGGGGGGAAAATAAGCAGATACTCTGATAATTTTTCTCGTTGTGGTAGTGTGATTATCTGTACAACCCAGTGATGGACTATTATATCATATCAGTGATGAATGCTATTTTTCTTCTTATAATTTGGTTTTGTCCATTTCTATAATATCTATACTCCACTCAAGGAGTTTAATATAATGTAAATCTGTGTACATATATAGTTTAACCAAATTAAAAGAATGTATATCTAGATTTGTTACATTTGAAGAAATGGAAACTCATTTCATTCACACGAGTGGAATTAGAATTGCATATAGAATGATATCGATTTAGTTCATTCGCAAAACTTGTTTTACTTTTTGAAGTTTTTAAGAAGTACGTTACTGTGCGACCTCGTCCAAACAAGTAATCCCAAGGCCAAGGATGCCTTCTTTGGAAACGGCAGTTTTTTAGCCGTTAAAAGTTACGACTGTTGAACTAATAAATAAATAGTTATGAAAGCATTGAAATGCTGATTCCAGGATAATGACAAAGAATTTTAACACTGTGCATACACACCCATGCAGAAGCAGGAAAATATAATTTTATTGTTCACAATTATCATGCCCTTTTTCTGGCCTTTTCCTTTAATCACTACAGAAATGCGTTTGGTTGGTTAAAAGAAAACATCACTGCCATGGAATAATTGTTGGTGTCGGATCCCGTAATTCGGATCCGGCCCAGAAAGTTTAGGATTCAGGAAACGAAGTGGGCCGTCAAGCTAGCCCATATGATGAGATGAAAAGCCCACTTAATTTCAAATCCAACTCGAATGTAACGTCGGAATCTGCGAAGTAAATAAAGTGCGGGTCATACGGAATTCACAGATTGGAGAAAATTCGAAACGAAAATAATAATAAAGACGTGATTCGCGGCTAGATTGGGGGGAACGGATTTCGACGATGTAGTTATAAATAGGGGTTGTAGATCATTGTAAGGTGGACTGAATTTCTGGAGCAATAAACGGATACACATACTTCACTCTTTTGTTTTCTTTTTGACGATTGCTATTCGAATTAGCAAGATTAGATGACCCGATACACATCATAAAATTTGTATTGCGGATTCCGACATCCACAATAATGTATTTGCTATTTGGCATTGGTAGTCACGTCTGGAATAAAAGTTCTGAAGCAATTCCACGAGTTGCTCCAATCTTCACCAGTTACCAGGGAATAACCAAATCATAATAATTCATTAACATTTTTCTATATAATTTTTTTGATAAAAAATAATAATATTTCTATAACATTAGCTATACCACAATATATTCTTCGATCTTATGTAACATGACATCTAAATATCAATATGATTACAAATAATATCACCGACTATAAAATCATGATAAAAACTATTTATAAATTAATATTAGGGACGACCAAAAAAACAAATAAATTGGGATGTTAACAAAATGTATACATTTTTTTTTTCCGACTACAAGATGTATACATTGGGGAAGTCATATCAATGTCTGAGAAATAGCACATGCAAGTGGACCCAAACTTTGTAAATCTGATAAAAACTACTCCCTCTGTTCCCTGAATACTTGATGTTTTAAGATATGTACATAAATTAAGAAAAAAAATTCTGTATTATTTAATTAAAACATCTCATTATTGAAATGTCAGATAACAGATAACGTGTGTTGTGTTCACATGCAAAGTAAGAGTTACGTACACATGCTACAAGTTATCTACTCCATACTCCATAGCACTCTAAACGTTTCAGATTCCTTCATCACTCTTATGTTAATTTCCCACTTTCGAAATAAAATTTGTTTGCTCAAAAATGATTGAAATTTTTAAACTTGGAGCCACAATTATGTTACTCAAAAACAGAAAAATTTAGATTGGAGCCAAAACCAATAACTATATTCCACTAACCTTCTATATATATCAACGTAGGTTTACACCATTTAGTCAAATTCAACAATGGCTTCTCATGGCTTTAATCAAAATTTACCGCTTCAAAACAATGAACAAGAATATTTGTTTGATTTGAACAAAAGTCCAACAAGAGAAACTTCACAGGAGAATTGTTTGGGCGTTCCACTCAACCAAGAACAAGAAGATTTTTCTTACATAAATTCAGGTATTTTTATTTATTTATTTGTTAGACACTGCATATATATCTAATTTTTAAAAATCATAATGTAGAAATTTAATCCATAATTTAATGCATCAATTAATATATGGGGGATTTATTTATCATGAGTTTATGAGTTCACGGAGAATTAAATGAATCATGTTCTTTAGTTTGTTTTTAGTTAAGTTTTTATATGATACATAAAGTTACCCAGTTTTTCTTATGCATCGACTTGTATGACATGGAAAGCTCTTGGTGCTTCTTATTGTTTGTGGAGTTCACTAGATCTTCGTGTTCACAAGGATTCTTATTTTATTTAACATTTTATTTTTCAAAATGTTTTTGATAGGAGGAAGTGTTGGGATATCACAAAGTCTTCAAGAAGCTAGTTATCACAATAAAAAAATGACAGATGGAGAAAGACTAAAGGTTTATCTTGCTCTACTGGAAAGAAGCAACAACGGTAAATTGAAGAAGATTCATACAACGGAAGTCGCTAATTTATTCTCCGTACCGTTACAAACGGTACAAAGAATTTGGAAGCGGGCTAAGAATACTCCTAATGGTGAAGTTGTTGATGTATCACATAAGAAAAAGGGTAGATGTGGTGCGAAGAAAATTCAAATTGATCTTGATCGAATTGTTGATATTCCACTCCATCGTCGGAAAACGTTACGGTCATTGGCGGCATCTTTGGACGTGAGCCGTACGACATTGTTTCGATGTCTGAAAAATGGGCTCATAAGACGACATTCAAATGCCATCAAGCCATGTTTGAAGGAAGGTAATATGAGAGCTCGACTAGAATTTTGTGTCTCCATGCTCGATAATAGTACTTTGCCCGATCACCCGAAATTTGTTGATATGTACAATATTGTGCATATCGACGAAAAATGGTTTTATATGACAAAAAAGAAAGAAAATTATTACTTGCATCCTATTGAAGAAGAGCCATATCGTACATGTCAAAGTAAAAATTACATCGGGAAGGTAATGTTTTTAGCCGCCATGGCTCGTCCAAGATTTGATGGAGAAGGAAATGAACTTTTTTCGGGAAAAATAGGAGTGTTTCCATTTGTTACAATGCAACCGGCTCAAAGACGAAGTAGAAATCGAGAAGCGGGTACTTTGGAGTTAAAGCCGATGACTTCCATCAAGAGAGAAAATATTAAGGAGTTTTTAATTGGAAAAGTTATACCGAGAATTCGTGAAAGATGGCCACAAGAGGATTTCGGGAAAACAATTTTTATTCAACAAGATAATGCAAGAACTCACGTTGACCCGAGAGATGAGGAATTCCGAATAGTTGCTTCTCATCATGGCTTTGATATTCGGTTGATGTGTCAACCACCGAATTCGCCCGACTTGAATATTTTAGATCTTGGATTTTTTAGTGCCATTCAAACACTACAACACAAGGTGTGTCCGAAGACGATAGAAGAACTTGTTTCCGCGGTAGAAAATTCATTTGATGAATATCCCTCAAACCAAGTGAACCGGATTTTTTTGACTTTGCAATCATGCATGCAAGAAATTATGAAAGTCCGAGGCTCTAACAAGTACAAAATCCCACATTTGAAGAAATCCATCTTGGAGAAAGAAGGTAATCTACCTTCACAAATGGCTTGTGATCCTATTTTAGTACGAGATGTAGTAAATTACTTAGCTACCTAAGTTTTTATTATTGTCATTGTATGTTTGTTTTTTATTTTGTTAATCGGCTGATACAATTTGTAAGATCTTTTACTTATTGAAGAACTTTTTGAATTTATATTTGATGATTTACGTTTGCAAAATACAAAACTCCAAATTTAAAGGAACAAACTTGGTGGCTTTCCTACTAATAAAAAAGAGTTTATATAGATTTGGTCTTTTCTCAATACATTTCTTCACACGTTTTATAACAAAAAGAGTAAAATTAGGAAACAAAAAAGAACAGATAAAAAGGAGAGAAATTAGGAAACAAAAGGAGTTTATATAGCTTAATTTTTTTTTATAGATTTGGTCTTCTGCCGAGTTACATTTTTTTCCTTTCATGTTCATAACAAAAATGAAAGAAATTAGGAAACAAAAAGAAAGATAATCTAAACAAAGCCGATAAAATAGAAAACAAAAAGAAAGATAATCTAAACAAAGCCGATAAAATAGGAAACAAAAAGAAAGATAATCTAAACAAAGCCGATAAAATAGGAAACATTTGGAAAATACCAAATTAATAAGAGTCAGGAAAATATATCCTCAGCATCGTCAATATAGTATCTTCCATGCCCTTGTCAGGATGCAGCTCTCCTACATCATAATAAAATGTTTTGTTCAAATCAAATTCTCTGGTGGAGTTAGAATTGATATCATAAATCCGATACACATTCTTCGATTGGTCTTCTTCTTCGTCATATGGCTTGTTCAAATCAAATCTCCGGATAGTGTTAGATTCGGTTTGAGTAGGTTGAACATGATTCAAATCTCCTTCTTCTTCCTTCATTTTTTTTCTAGCTTCTTCTTGCTTCATTTAGAAAGAGAAAAACGATTAACAAGAAGAAAAAAAGAAAGAAAAGATGAAATGGTGAGTGGTTCGTAAATGGCAAAGAATAAGTAGTGATGTTCAATGAGAGTAATCAATGAGCATAAATGGGAATGGGAAGCTTTTTTCACTGAGAGTAAATAATGATTGGTTCGTAAATGAGAATGGAAAGTTTCACAAGTTTCATTTTCTTTGTCCAAAAACACACTCAACTCCACTTTTTATCATTAATTAATTTAAATAAAATAAATACATTAAATAAATTCTACAACATCAAATATTCAGGAACAAGGAGAAAAACCAAAACATCAAGTATTTAGGAACAGAGGGAGTATAAAAGTAGATCCCTACAATATTATTTATACCTTCGAGTTATGATCGAATACTATCAAGAATGGTATATGATGACCCACGTTAATGTTTTTGACGGCTCAGATTTAACGCAACCTTCAAACATATCGCATGCGTTTTCAATTATTTTTTACCTAAATGCTCCTT